CACGCTACTCACAGTAAATCGCAAAAGTTCTTTTGTTTTCCAAAGAATGCATGTAAAAAACCACATGAAATTCAGAACGTCGAGATGATTGAACTCTATAGTTAAATAACAGCATCCTCAAAAATGTAACATCGCTTTCCATCTTCATTCCATGTTCATTTATTTGCTCTAGGTTTTGGTTAATGTAGTGTAATTCCATAAAGCCGGGGACACTGAAAGAATTTCTCCACTTTCTTAGGGAATATGTGGATATTCCCACTCTCCACACCCATATGGTGAGCAGGAAATAACTTCATCACCCACCATCCAATCATTTGACTTCAACAGTATTTTGGTTGAAGAAGGAGAGGAAGAAGGACTGACTGAGGGCATCCTTTACCGAGCAGAGCCTGCATTGGTTAGTTAGCTTCTGGGAAAACTGAAAAAAATCAATCAATCAATCACAGCTCATGAAAAGGGAAACACAAATTATACTTTTGCTTCCTTCTCATAATTTTGAAGCGTACCATGCTTGTAATCATGCAACAGTTAGCTTATATGAATGGTATTCTAATAAATACACGCAGTCGATTGAGGGTTTTATTGTTAAGGCTTCATTAGCTGTAGCTACATCAATTCTGATTGACTTGCATTACATTCCTACAATAGCATGATTAGTGATTCTTCCTAAGTGTCCCAGCTATTTGTATTTTGATCCATTACGACAGATTGATACCAGTGATGCAGACCTGCCTGATGAAAAGATGTTAGGTCATTCTTACTCCGGGATTGAGGACGACACTTTCCAAGCTTCCATGATCGCTCTCCATGGTAGCACCTGTAGCACAGACCTGGATTACCTACACTCATCCACACCTAAGGTAAGGACCTTTATTTATAAAATGTAACTGAAATGAGAAGCACAGCTTGGTATTGTTTTCCTCATTTCATTAAATGTTACCGCACCATCTCGTGCCCTTTGTCACAATGAGCTTTACAGCATGTAGTCATTATTCTTAGTTTTTTTTTGCTATGGAGGGCCAAAATGTCATGAGACATGTTTCCTGTTCTTTGTTAGGGCAGTAACTACATTACTGAACTCGGTGTTATACGAGGGCTGTATCCACAGCCCCAAGAACTGAAACTCTCCAAATGGATATTAAATTATAAGGAAAATAACCCCGCAAAAAAAGAGGAAGGAGCAGACAAACTATTTTCCTAAGGGTATCTGTGTGTTTCCAGTTTTCCCAAAGGCCACAGCTGACCTTATTTGTAGGGCCTCGCTGCGTAATTTATCGTATAATAGGGCGGCCCAGAGGGACGAACGTGGGGCAGGACGACTCGTGGCAATTTATAGTGCTGGGGGATTTCACAAAATACATTTCAGCTGTTTGTACGAAGCCCGACAGCTCAGCCTCAGCGTGATCATGTGCTCCAGAGGGAAGCAACAAGTCTCTTGATAAATTTACATCAGTGACCGTAAGAAATGCACCAGCTTTTCCGGACTGTGAGGCTGGATGTTTTTTTTTAACCTTTCACTCCGTGCCTGTTTCCTGAACAACAATGTAAAGTTCACCACATTGTAACTCGCCTCAAGAATGTCTCTGCCTTTAAGTTAGCGAGTTCTCTGTTTACCTGACTATCAGCTTGTTCGTTTGGATGGGGAATGATTTGTAACTTTAATTAGAAAATTGGGACATTCTGCATTTGTTTTCTTCAGCATATATCTTTATCTCTTTGGCACGTTTTGGATCATCGGGGGATGATGGATATCGCTCATCTGTCGAGTATAGTTGTTGTTTTAGTGTTACTATGGTTTCTTTAGAGTTTATTTATAGTGTTTAGGTGAAGATAGAGACAAAGGAAGGACACAGGAGCTTTCTTCCTGCACACAGGAAAAATGCAGCCAGAAAAATATACTGCTTAAAAAACATGAAAGGACCACTTTTTAATCAGAGTACAGCATCTAGTCGATTAAACTTCTGGGATATTGATGTGGTCAGTTAAGTAGCAGAGGGGGTTGTTGATCAGTTTCAGCTGCTTTGGTGTTAATGACATTAACAACAGGTGAACTAGAGGGGCAACAATGAGACAACCTCCACAACAGGAATGCTTTTGCATTTGATTAGGCTCAGTGTCACAAGAGCTAGCATGAGGCAATACCTGGACCCTACAGAGGTTGCACAGGTAGTTCAACTCATCCAGGGTGGCACATCAATATGTGCCACTGTCTCCCAGCACAGAGCATTGAGTAGATTTCAGGAGACAGGTAGTTTCTCTAGGAGAGAATTGATACCATTGATTGCTCCCCATGCTTGCCCGACCTAAATCAAAAGAACACCTCTGGGACATTATGTTTCTGCCCATCCAGCACCATCAGGTTATATCTCAGGAGCTTGTCCAGAGGCTCAGTGATGCCCTGGTCCAGACCTGGAACCATCCGTCGTCTCATTTGGAGCCATACAAGCACATGAGGGTCATACAAACGTCTGAGTACCATTTGGAGTTGGTGCAATAAAATTTCAGCCAAATGGACTCGCCTGCCGCATCATTATTTGACGTTGATTTTCAGAGTCTCTTTGATTTCTTCCCTCTGTAGTTGATCATTTTCATTTCCATCAAACGAGGTGGAATCCTTTCATTCCTAACACATTATCCAGTCCAAATCAGTGTAGCTATCCAGCAGGTTTCCCCACATAGATCTCATGTATTTTCAAAGTGTTCCTGTGCATTTTTTTGAGCAGTATATTTATAAATTTGAAACAGTTTGCCCCCGTTTATTCTGACTGAGGTGTGTATATAGTGATT